ATCCCCACCATTTGTGTCTCTGACACCCTGTCGGTTGCCATGGAGACCACTGATTGTGAAACACACACTGGGTGTTCTTGGTAAGGTTGTGGGAGTCTGGAGAAGGTGGACCCTGGCTCTAGAGTCCAGTTGAGATTGTCCCCAGAGCCAGTGGCTGGCATCTTTCAAGGGTGACGCAGTGATTGTGAGAAAGATGCTACCCTACCCGAGTCCTCAAAGGTCCCCGAAGAACCGGGAAAGGGGAAGGGGCTCATCCTGCTGCGCCATGATTCAGCACAATAGCTGCTTGATTTGGATAATGTCTGGGACTCCACCTTCGAGGGGTTCCAGAGAGATTTTGATGTTGCCTCCTCCCCAACGCTCAGGAATGGGGGGCTGGGAAGGGAGAGTTCAGAGGGGATTTGGCCCTATCATCTAGCCTGTCACTTCAAAACCCTAATTCTGGGCTGGAGAGAAGGCTCAGTTATTGAGTGGTTGTTTCTCTTGCAGAGGACTGAAGATGGGTTCCTAGCACCCATGTCATACAGGGGTGTGGGGGTAGGGATGGCAAGTCAAAGGCCTGGAACTCCAGGTTCAGGGAATCCAACGCGATGTCTGGCTTCCTTATGCACTTACACTCATGTGCACCTCCCCTACACGCATAATTAAAAATAAAGCAAATCTTTGAGCAGGGCATGGTGGTACAACCTTTAGTCCCAACACTCAGGCGGCAGAGGCTGGGCAATCCCTGTGTGTTCAAAGTCAGCCTGGTCTATATCAGGAGTTCCAGGACAAAGCTAGGGCTGCATAGCGAGACCCTGTCGCAACAAACGAATGAATGAATGAATGAATAAACTTTAAAAACTGCAAAGCTGTGGTGCTCCATTGTCAACTGCAGGGGCACTAGCCATATCACCAAGGGCCCCACCTAGACTGACTTGTGGGCTCCTTGGTCCAGAAAATTGTTTTTCATGAGCACCTGGGGAGGGGGAGGCCTTTTCTCTGGAGTCAAGATTCTCTGGCACAGACAGGGTGTGTATTCTTTAAGACATTAGGACAATGCTGGAGACTCAGACACTGCCCACTCCCACAGGTGAGGTACAGAGAGAACAGGCTAAAAAGGAATGCTGTGGAGACAGAGGGCACCCAAGACGGTGACCGCTGCAGGCTGCCACAGAATGACTTGCAGGAAGATATTTGATCAATATCTGTTGATGAGTTCTAAAACATTGTTGAATAAAAAGGGATTTGAAAGAATAAAATGGACGCCCAAAGAAATCTGTAGTTTAGAAAATGCAAAATTTTGATTCACTGTGAGTTTAAGTCTAATAAAGGTGTGAGCTTAAGTGATTTTGTTTCCTTAAAGATCATGAGAGTTATGTGTTGTTAGTGTTGGATGTTTGGGTCCAGTGGATTGTGGAAGTATCCAAGGGAAGGAACATAGTTTACTTATTTAATGGCAACACATGATGGGGGCAGGAGGGGGCAAAGATTTGAATATTTAAATTACATCTGCACATGCCTAGGTTTGTCCAGATTGGCCTTGCAAAGTGGGTAGGCGACTTTCAAAGCTCTGGTGAACCTCACTTTACCCAAACCTATGACTTTATTTTAGGTAAATTTCATGTAGCCCAGGCTAGCCTCCACCTTACTGTGTAGCTGAAGACCTTTCTGCTTCTTAAATGCTGAAGTTTAAGATGTGTTTATACAATGCTAGATACTGAACGCAGAGCTTCAAGCATGCTGGGCCATGGCTATGCCATTTGATTCACACCCCCAGCCCCATTTTTTGTTTTGTTTTTGAGAAAGGTTCCCACTTTGCAGTCCAAGGACTTGAACTTGCTATGTGGTCTAGGCAGACCTCAAGCTGGAGATTCCCCTGCTTCGGCTTTTCTGGCGCTGAGATCACAAGTGTCTGCAATACTCCCAGTAAATTTACGGCATCTGATGGTTCTTCAGGACACAGAAGTGTCTTAATTATGGATAGTTTGCGTCTGTTTGTCGTCATGGTGATGAGACTATGTGAAGGGACTGCTGTCTTGAAAAACAATGCATATGAACTAAATCTGGGGTTTGAGTTTGAATTCTATGAAGGTTGTGTCTATTAAACTCCAGTTAACATCCCACTTAGCTTGCATAAGTAAACTCCTTGGGAAGGAGGCTGGACACCTTATTATTCTTTGGGGTGCTTGCCTGTGCTGTGTGTGTGTGTAGCTGAACTTATAGAGATCAAAGGACAATTCTTAAGGGTTATTTCTCTCCTTTCATGGCTTTGCCTAGGGCACCCAGTTAAGCACCTTTGCCTTGCTGAACCATTTCAACAGGTGTTTGTTTTTGAGATGAGACAAGTCTCTGTAACCCAGGCTGGTTCAGAACTCACTGGATAGTTCAGGCTGACCTGTAACTCCCAGAAGTATCTGGTTTCAGCCCCTGAGTACTGAGATTATCCAGCTTGGAAAGCTCTGTAAAAAACTCTTGGGTTGCTATCTCTGTGTGCGCCCATGTCACTGTATGCACGTGAAGAACAGAGGCCAACTTGGATTGTCATTTCCCAATCTCTCTTCACCTTGTATTTTGATATAGGGTTTCTCACTGGCCTGGACTCTTTACAGGAGTGTTGGGGATTGAACTCAGGTCCTTCCACTTACATGGCAAGTACTTCACCACTTGACCTGTCTCCCTGGTCTAGGTGAACTTCCTCATCTTTCTCAGGGTTTGCAGAACTCTGGGGCTCTGTGACACACAAGGCACCTGCTCACTGCCCTGCCTTTCTCAGAGGCGGGCTATGGTCCTGCCTAAAGGGCTGGCTGCCAAAACCAGAGGTGCAAGCAGGAGGCTGCATTTTCTTTCTTCCTGAGGCCACTGGATTTCAGGGAAACTCCCTCCCCCCCCCTTTTTTTTATAAAGAAACTAAAGCAATAGCGAGGGAGAGAAAAGCAAAGGCGACTGATGGGCTCTGACTGGAGACAGAACTTCCAGGAAATACCAGTTGGCTCTTTATTAGGGGAAGTCCCTTTACGGTGACCATGAGTGTGAGAGGTGAGCATGAATTCTGGCAGCAGAAAAGATCTATTCTGGTGGCACATTCCAGCATTTGGTCATGAAGAAAGAATGATCTTCAGGAAAAATCACCCCCTCAGCAAAGGATTTCTATAGAGGCTGGGGCGAGTGAGAGCCAATTCTGACGCTCTTGCAAGTGGTGAGGGAGCTAGGCAGACTTAGTCATCATTGACATGTCTCTTTTCTGCCTCCCACATTTACTTGTATAACTGTCTTCTGGGGAGGGGTGAAGTCATATTAAGAAAAACAACAGCAGTTTGAAAAAGAGAAGGGATGGGCTGGGAGATGGCTCAGTGGGCAAGAACAGTTGCTATGCAGGCCTGAAGACCCGAGTTCAAATCCCAAGCATCCACACTTAAAAAAAAAAAAGTTAGCCAGGCAGGGGTGGCGCACACCTTTAATCCCAGCACTCTGGAGGCAGAGGCAGTAAGATCTCTGTGAGTTTGAGGCCAGCCAGGTCTACAAAGTGAGTTGCAGGACAACCAGGGCTACTCAGAGAAACCCTGTCAAAAAAACAAACAAACAAGCAAACACAAAGAGCTGAGTGTGGCTGTATAGGCCATAGTCCTAACACTAGGACTATACCACTATAGCAGATGGAGACCTGAGAATCACTGGGGTTTGCTTCCAGCCAAGCTCAAAGATCAGTGAGAGACCATTTCTCATGAGACTAAGGCATCACGATAGAGTAGAACACTCAATGTTCCCGTGTGAGTGCATGGGTGCACACCTGTGTGTGAGGGAACACGAGTGTTTGCCCATGTGCACTTTCGTGAGCATACACACACACACACACACACACACACACACACAAACACATGCACACAGGCATGTCTGCATACCCAGAAAAGACAGAAGGAACAAGAAAGGGTTGGGATGAGCTCTGGGTTGACCAGAGGGCATGACCACTGGGGCACATTCCAGAGTCTGATAGAACTGGGTGGTCCCTTCAGCCCTGAGATTCTGGGGAATCCAGAAAGGGATTATCGAGGCCTTCAGAGATAACAGAGGATCAGAGCATGCAGTCTGCAGCATTTGCCTAGCACTCAGGAATGGTAGTATACTAATTAATCACTATAAACATCCACAGTCGCCAGGAAGCCCCAGATAGCTGGAGAAAGATGCTTAGAAGTCAAGGGATACCATCAATACTCACTAGTGGCATTGGGGTGATGGCAGGGTAAGGGGTCACAGTCTCTCTTCAATCTCTTGTAGCATCTGGAGGCCATTCATTGGGTACCTTGAAGGTAGTTGCTGGTGTTAGCCAGGGACTTAAGGCCCCCCTGTGTGGAGGAAATGGGAGATAATGGTGGGGACAGTTTGAAATGTTTAGAAGACAACTCATGTATAGGGCTTTCTTTTGGAGTTATCTTGGAGATTATGAATTGACTTGAGA